CTAGAGGATATATCCAGTGATGTCAGCAGGGTGTCGAAGTCTCCTGCTATGATTGTAGTGCTGTAGATTTCCCCTTTGAAGTCCTCCAGAAGATTTTTAATATGTTTTGGTGCTCCTATATTGGGTGAATATATGTTTACCAAGGTTATATCTTCCTCTGGGATTGATCCTTTCAATATTATGTAGTAGCCTTCTTTGTCTTCAGTTATGGCCTTCATTTTGAAATCTATTTTATCAGATATGAGTATTGCTACGCCAGCTTTTTTTTCCTTTTCATTTGGTTGGAAGATTTCTTTTTATCCCTTCACTTTCAACCTATGTGAGTCTTTTGTTGTGAGGTGGGTCTCTTATAAACTACATATATATGAATCATGCTTTCTTATCCAATCAGCTACTCTGTGTCTTTTGATTGGAGTGTTCAGTCCATTTACATTTATGGTGATAATTGATACATACTTATTTCTTGACATTTTTGTTTATTGTGGTTATATTTTTTCTTCCGATTTCTTCTACTAATTACAGCAGTCCTTTTAACATTTCTTGCAGTGCTGGTTTGGTGCTAATATATTTCCTTAGCCTTTTTTTGCCTGGGAAGCTCTTTATTTCTCCTTCTATTTTGAATGATAGCCTTGCTGAATAGAGTAGTCCTGGATTCAGATCCTTGTTTTTCATGACCTTGATTAATTCATGCCCTTCCCTTCTGCCCTGTTGTGTTTCTCTTGAGAAGTCAGCTGATAGCCTAATGGGAGTTCCTTTGCAGGTAACCTCTTGCTTTTCCCTTGCTGCCTTTAGGATCCTCCCTTTGTCTTTAATTTTTGGTATTTTAATTACTATGTGCCTTGGTGTGGGCCTGTTTGGGTTCTTCTAACTTGGGGCTCTCTGTGCTTCTTGAACTTGAATGCCTTCTTCCTTCACCAAGTTAGGGAAGTTTTGGTCACTATTTTGTCAAATAATTCTCTAACCCTTGCTCCTTTTCTTCTTCTTCTGGAAGTCCTATAATGCAAATGTTGATATGTTTTAAGCTGTCCCACAGTTCTCTTAAGCTCTCTTCTGTTTTTTAATTGTTTTTTTCCTTTTGGTTTTCTGATTGGTTGATTTTTTTTCTATCCTGTCTTCTAACTTGTTGATCCCGTCCTCAGCTTCCTCTACACTGCTGTTTAGTCCTTCTAATGTGTTCTTTATTCCTGCTATGCCATTCTTCATTTCTTCTTGGTGTTTTTTCATTTCCAATTGGTTGATTTTCAATGTTTCCATATCTTTACTCATGGTAAATGTCCTTACTGATGGTTGATGTCCTTACTCATGCTGTTGAGCTTCCTCAAGATCATGGCCTGAACTCTACCTCTGATAACTTGCTTAACTGCATTTCATTTATCTCATCTTCAGTAGAGGTCTTTTGTTCTTTCATTTGGGATTTTTTTCTTTGTTTCACCATTTTGGCTCAGTGGGTTTTGGAGCCTGCCAGATTTTCCCTGTGGGTGTTGGTGTTCTGCTGTTTGTGGCCCCCTCTACTGGGTTTGGATGAGTGTGGGAGGACTTATGTTAGACACCTCTGTCAAGTCTTACTTTCCTGGCTAGATTTGCAAGCCCAGGAATGGTTCAGTTATCCTCTAGCTTTTTGCCTGGAGGCTATAGGTCTCAGTTACTTGAGGAGCCTTGGTTTCTCAGTTAAATGAAGAACTCCCTCCGTTGTTCATCATAAGAGGATTTCCCGAGGGTGGGGTAGATGCTGGTTGTTAATAGCCTCAATTTGCATTTCTCTGGCCTAGCTGGGTGGGGTTAAATCTCCAAGGGAGGGGCTGCTGCTTCTCCCTAGAAGGAACAAGATGGCCACTGTCCTGTGAGCAAAATCTCTGAGCACCCTCCAAATCCCGAGTGTCCCCACACAGTTCCAGTCCAGTCTGTCCTCTCTCTGCCGGAGCCCAAGGTGAGTGGCTCTAGCTAAGTTAGTGCTCTGTCCTGGCCCTCTGTGCTGTGGAGCTGTCATGGGATTTTAACCCCAAGGGAGCTGCTCACAGCTAAAACAGATGATGTCCGTGAGCTCCCAGCCCACCCTCTCATACCTCCACAGACCTACCAGGCTTGATTCAGTGTCTCTTTTCCTGCCCGTGGTTATATGAGTCCTCTCCAGCTGCTTTTCTGTTGCTTTTTCCCAATGATTTGTCTTTATTTTAGTTGTAATTCTAGTCTGGTCCTGGGAGATGGTCTGTGTGGCTTCCATTCACTCTGCTGCCATTTTGGAATCCTGGTGTTGTAATTTTTGGAAATGCAGTATGATGCCTTCCAAAGTTTAGGGCATGGGTCAGCATGTCACTATGGCTCATCTGAGGGGTTCAGAGCAGACCCTGTAAGATGCTGCTGGGTCTAGATTCACTAACGTCATCTATAAACCTCATTTTTTAATCAGTAAAAGCTTTTAAAGAGGTTCTGCTTAGGGTCTGTCCAGCCACAGTGTTATGGGTGTCAGGAACCTTGATGGTCCAGTGTTTGGAGCTTCTTAAGTTGTATGATTCAGTGTTTGGGAGGATCTGGAGGGTCTTAATGTCTGGCCCTTCCTCTTCTGTTTGTTGTGGTTACCCAACCTAGGGTATTTGGGGATGCTTTGGGAACCTAAGATGACATGCCATATCACTCTCCAGATCTCCTTGGCTAGGATGGAATACATTTCCAAATCTGCAATCAGCTGACCTTTAAAAGGCCACCTGGGGAACGCTGCAGGGCCACTCTTATTCACTTATTTTCCAGATTCGTATGCTGAGATGTTTCCATTGCATATCATAGTTTCCATGCTTAGGAATCCAGGTATGGTTTCACTAGGTCATCTACTCAGGGTCTCAGCAGACTACAATCAAGGATTCAGCTAGATTGCATTCTTATCTTTCCAGCTCATTCAGGTTGTTGGTAGAATTCAGTTCCTCATAGTGGTAGAACTGAGACCCCAAGGCTACCCTTCCCTGTAGGTAGCTCACAGCATGGCTGTATGCTCCTCCCAAAAGAGTTTCTTTTTGAGAATAATATAAATTTGGTGTCATTTCAAACTGTATTTTATATATGATTCCTTGCTTTAGGTACTCAGAATTTTTGAGCTGGAAAGGGCCAATTATCAATCTTTTCTAGTATTTCCTTCTGTCCACCTCTCAGGTTTATGGATATCTACTGAAACTGAATGGCAGAAGTTTATGGAAACTGAAAGATAGAAGTGCTAAAGTGCTTTGCTCTAAGGTCATGTAGATTAGCAGAAGATTCATCTAGAGCAAGACATTATCTGAATATCAGAAAGCAAAGAAGACTTGAGAACATTTCTAAGAATCTAATATAGTTGTGGGGGGAGGGAGAGGAGGGTATGGGGGGTAAATGGTGATGGAAGACTTGGGGTGGTAAGCACACAATACAGTGTACAGATGATGTGTTGTGGAGTTGTGCACCTAAAACCTGTATAATTTTGTTAACCAGTGTCACCCAGTAAATTAAAAAATAAAAAGCATCTTATGTAGTTTAAAATAGCCTTGTAATTGTTTTAACCTAAGGAATCACTAAAATAATCTTTTAAAATACCTGGAAAAAGGAAATTCATTAACTCTTTTACAAATGTTTATTAAACACCTCTTACTTTATCATCCACAACTAGGATTTTGAGTGGAATAGCAAATATTTCTAGATTGCAAATGATATATCAGGATATAAAGGATGAATTAGGATCTAAAGGATATGTAAAGTATTATCAGGTATATTTTTCTCAAATTTGCATCTGGGAGACCTGAGGTAGTAATAATGATAATAGCCAAGATTTATTGGCTACATATAATGTTCTAAGCACAATTCTTTGCATTGTACATTAACTATCATTCTCAAGAACTTCATAAGGTAGGTACTATTTTTATCTATATTTTACGCTGAGGAAGCCAAAGCACAAAGAAGCTATGAAATTTGCCAAAGTCATATGGCCAGAACATGGAAGAGCCACAATTTGAACTTGATTGGACTTACTTCAGAGCCCACAATCTTAACTATACTATATTGAGTCTGTAGAAAGATAAAAGCCTTATAGCCCTGTTTTCTAATACCATGATTCCTTCCTAAATAAGAATTTTTTTATCCTCACCCAAGGATATTTTTACATTTATCTTCAGATACAGCAGGAGGGAGGGAGAGAGAGAGAAACATCAATGTGAGAGAGACACATCGACTGGTTGCCACCCACACAACCCCAACCAGGGCCGGGGTTGAACCCCAACCAAAGTATGTGCCCTTAGCGGGAACCGAACCCGGGTCATATTTGGCAGTTGAAGCACAGGTTTAGCAGGTTAAATGAAAAATAGTACTTTCTATATCCTCACCTGAGGACATTTTTCCTTTTTTTTTGGTTCAGATAGAGTGGGAGGGAGAGAGAGGAAGAGAGAGAGAGAAAGAAGCATCGACGTGAAAGGAACACATCGAGTGGCTGCCTCCTGCACGACCCAACCAGGGCTGGGGACAAACTGCAACCGAGGTACATGCCCTTAGCAGAAACCAAACCCGGGTCTCTCTGGACTACAGGCTGACGCTCTAACTGCTGAGCCAAACTGGCCAGGGCCAGCTTTCTGTTTTTTTAAATGTTTTTATTGATTTTTTTAGAGAGAGAGGATGGGAGAGATAGAAACATCAATGTGAGAGAGAAACATCCATCGGCTGCCCCCTGCACGCACCCCACTGGGGACCAAGCCCACAACCCGGGCATGTGCCCTGACCAGGAATCAAACTGGGACCTCTTAGTCCATGGGACAACAATCAATCCACTGAGCCACGCCTGCTGGACAATCATCAGTTTTCTTATTGTGTATTATGGCTTTGTAGTTACAACATGGGCTTCAGACAAAACCTGGATTCAAATTCTGGTTTCACCACTTCCTAGTTTTATGACTTTGGGCAGATCAAAGGTTAGGAAATGGAAGCAGCTGTTTATTATTTTTTATATGGATAGCCTGTGGTGATGGGTGCATTTCTTTTTCTTTTTTGATTAGGTGGATTTATTTAAAAAGAGCCTTCTGTTGATTCCTATTCACCTGGAAGTTCACTGGTCTCTCATTACTGTGACACTCTCTAACCGAATTATTTCATTTTATGATTCGCAAGGCATCCATTTTAAGTTTTGTGTAGAGGTAAGTTAATATAATGCCTATTTCTTCATTCGTCTTGTGATTGACCAAATGTTACCTTAGCTCTATATACAATACCATTGAGGATCAATTTCTATCATAAAACCCCTCTGAAATGTTGGCAGAGAAAAGGACTACCAGAGGAATCTCTAACTGGGGACAGGTGACTGTCTATAATCTGGATCCTCTGAGATACATTCCTTATTTGGATTTCATCACATTTCATTATGCCTTTCCCTTGACACTTTATTTTGAATATGGATAGAAATTGTTTTCCTTGGTTCCTCTTAGAGCTGAAATTTGCTTGTATCTTCAAAATAACTTATGTAGAATGAATTATAACCAAAAGAATTAGCTGGCAAATATGAGAGTTCAACAAGATGGTGGGATACAAGCAAGAAATTTTAGCAGATTTCTTAATTTTTCTGCACTAGCAGAACTGGTTAGAAAATATAACTGAAAGCAGAAAGATTCCATTTGCAAAAGCAATAAAGACATAAATTACCCAGTAATATACCCTAGCAAAAAATGTGGAAGTTTTTAAAGATGAAAACTAAAGTATTTAAATGAAATCTGAATATTTGGAAAGATAGATACACTCAGTATTGGAAAGAGATCAATTCTCCCTAAACTAATATATACCAAATTTCTGTTCTAATTCAATTACTATCAGGATTTTGAAATAAACCTGATCAGCTCACTGTGGATTTCATATTGCAGAACTCATATGTTTAAACAGCTAAAATAGTTTCGAAGTAGAACAGGGAAGAAAGGAATACTTGTCAAACTATATATTTTTTTTAATTTTTAAAAAAATTTATTGATTTTACAGAGAGAGAGAAAACATCGATTTGTTGTTTCACTCATCTGTGTGCTCATTGGTTGATTCTTTTATGTGCCCTGACCAGGGATTGAACCTGCAGCGTTGGCATATCAGTACAATGCTCTAACCAACTGAGCTACTGGGCCAAGGCTATATCATAAAGTTTTAATAATTAAAACTATGTTTATATTTATTTAGGAATAGACAAGTAAATTGGTGGTACAGCATAGAAAATCTAAAAACAACTCATGTGTATGTGGGAACTTAGTGTATGATGAAATTGGGAAAGAATAGGCTATTCAGTATATACCATTGGGAAAATTAGCTGTCTATTTGGAAAAGTAAAATATAGATCCTTATTCATACTATTTAGAAAACAAATTTCAGATGGAATAATGACCTAAATATAAAACACAGAACTACAAAAGTTAGAATAAAATATAGAAAATGTTATGTTCTTAGAGTAGGGAAGGCATTCTTATACAGAACCAAAAAGCAAAAGATATAAAGGAACAGATTGATAAATTTTAACATGCCATAATTTAAAACTTCTGTATGCCATAAAGTTAAAAGACAAGGGACAGACTTGAAGAAAATGTTTGTGACCTATATAATAGTCATTGTCCAGAATATATAACGAACTCCTACAAATGAATAAGAAGGATCCACTAGAAATGGACAAATAATAAAATAAGTAATTTTTAAGAAAAATGCATATAACCATTAAACACATGGAGAGATGCTCACCCTAACCAGAAATATGGGAAATACAAATAGGGTTCCATTTTTTGCCTATTATATTAGGAAAAATTTAATGGTATCCCATTGTTTATATGGGTATATAGTCAGCCCTCGTTTATCGAGGTTAATCAGTTCCAGACTCGACTGTGATAAATGAATTTCCGCGAAGTAGGATTCTTTATTTATATACAGTCGTCCCTCGCCACTTCACGCTTCAACTTTCGCGATAAGAGTGAAGCCACGAAGCGCAAAGTGGCGAGGGACGACTGTAAAAGGAAACAGACATTCTCATATTTGCTGGTGGAATGTATACTTGAAAAGTTGCAATTCTAATCAATTCTAAGTACCTTGTAAATTATTGCATACCAATTCTATTTCCTGGTATTTACTCCATAAAAATACATATTTGCATGCAAGGATGGGGCATACACCAGGATGTTCATTGCAGCTTTACTGATAATAGTAAAAAATTAAAACAACCTAAATTTAACTCTACCAACAGACTGGCTAAATACGTACTCTGTAGCCCTGGCCACTTTTGCTCAATGGTTAGAACGTCGGCCCTCAGACCTAAGGGTTTCAGGTTCAATTCCTGGTCAAGGGCACATACTTGGTTTGATCCCCAGCCCTGGTCAGGGTTGTGTGGGAAGCGATCAGTAGATGTGTTTCCCACACATTGATGTTTCTCTCTGTCTCTCTTTCTCTCTCCCTCCCTCCCACTCTCTAAAAATAAGTGGAAAAATATCCTTAGGTGAGAATTAACAACAAAAACAAAAAAATACCTACACTGTAGTATAGTCATATTGTCAAAGTGACCATAGCAGTTAAAAAGAATATACATAGTAGATCTCCACATCCAACATGGAAAGATCTCAAGACATATAGAGTTTTAAAAAGCAAGTTCCAGGAATGATGAAGTATAACATGTTTATGGAAATAAAATACATACATGCATATATGTATGTGTATGTATATACAAAAGTACACTTATGTATAAACACATACATATATACTTCTACTCTACCTTCAGGGGGTTATTTAATTCATGTAACCTCTGACTTCACCCTTAGAAGAGATGTGCAGAGAGAGATGCATGAAGAGGTTGAGGATATGAGGGAAAATTTGAAACTCCAGTAGGCTTTATCTTGGTAGAAATTTCAGCAGTGGATCTGACTCTGTTTAGTATTTAGAATGGGTTTAATTATGACTCTACAAATTGAATGATACCTTTACCTGCAGTTCTCAAAAATATGGAAACAAGAATGTTTTTCATTTAGTTTCAGTTATTAATGATTTCTGCCATGAGTTCCTTCCCTCTGTTGAGTATTGGCAGTAATTTTTTTTAAATATGTTTTTATTGATTTTTTAGATAGAGAGGAAGGGAGAGAGAGAGAGAAATGTCAATGTAAAAGAGAAATATCCATCAATCGGCTGCCTTCTGCACAACCCCTACTGGGGATCGAGCCCAAAATGCAGGCATGTGCCATGACCGGGAATCCAACGGGGACCTCTCAGTCCATGGGACGATGCTCAATCAACTGAGCCACACCAACTGGGCATTGGCAGTAATTTTTAAGTTTCAAATTCAGCAGGTTGATTTACTGCTGAAAAAGGCTATCTCATAAAAAATTCTTATTACAACATATATCAGTGTCCACAGTCTAAGTGCATACTTGAGTACAAGGGGTTGGAGTTCTTCTTAACATTATGAAGTGAAAGGTCTGAAATAAAGTTCCTGCTTTAAACTTGTTCATGCATCCTCTGCCCAATGGTGCGGCCACAGTCTCTTCTTTGCTTCTATCTGCTGTGGGCAGGTTCCATTTTTCACCACCTGATGGAACATAGCATCTGTGTTGTGGTTTCTTTTTAACCAGAATATAAGAAAGTATTTGCTGACTGAAGCCAGAGAAAAAAATAGACCTGAATTTCTTCAGGGTTGGCAGACTGCTGTTACAAAGGTAAGTGTGTGATAAAAATGAAAAACCAGGGATATCAAGGGATGGAATCATCAAAACAGTGGGTGTCTTTAAAAGCATTTTTTTTTTTTTATCCTCACCCGAGGACATTTTTCCATTTATTATTCAGATAAAGTGGGAGGGAGAGAGAGAGAGAGAAACATCGACATGAAAGGGACACATTGAGTGGTTGCCACCCCCATGACCCAACCCGGGCCGGGGATAAACTGCAACCAAGGTACGTGCCCTTAGCGGGAATGAACCCGGGTCTCTCTGGACCGCAGGCCAGCGCTCTAACCACTGAGCAAAACCGGCCAGGGCTGAAAGCATTTTTATAAAACAATTATGAGGTATCACTTCATACTTGCCAGAATGGCTGCCATCAACAAATCATCAAACAACAAGTGCTGGAGAGGGTGTGGAGAAAAGAGGACTCTAGTACACTGCTGGTGGAAATGCAGACTGGTGCAGCCACTGTGGAAAACACTATGGTGTTACCTCAAAAAATTAAAAATTGAATTGCCACTTGACCCATTGATCCCACTTCTAGGAATAGATCCTAAGAAGTCTGAAACACCAATCAGAACGAATATATATACCCCTATGTTCATAGCAGCACTATTTACATTTGCTAAGTTCTGGAAACAGCCCAACTGCCCATCAATAGATGAGTGGATAAAAAAGCTGTGATACATATACATAATGGAATACTATGCAGCTGTAAGAAAGAAAGATCTCTTATCCTTTGAGATGACACGGAGGGACCTCAAGAGTATTCTGCTAAGCGAAATAAGCCAATGAGAGAAAGAGAAATAACACATGATCTCACTTATTTGTGGAATATAATGAACAAGGTGGGCTGATGAATGAAATAGACCCAGAGACATAGAAACGAGTATGGTTCAAACTGACAAACCTCAGAGGAGGAGGGTGGGGGAGATGGATGAGATGAACCAAAGAACTTATATGCATGTTAAGTGTAACCAGTGGACATAGACAGCAATGTCAGGGGTGGAGTGGGAGCGGTGTCTAGGGGGGAAATGGAGAAACATCTGTAACAAAAAATAAAAATAAAAGCATTTTTTAGACTGGCGATGAAGATACCAATGAAAAGCCTGGATGCTGCAGGGAGGCAACTCAGAACCTTAGTGTTCATCATCTGGCTGCTGTTTTCCAGTGGTTGCTTAGAACAAATATGTTTGGTCATTTCACCCATGGGGCAGCTGCTAATCATATGGTTATAAAATTTGTATAATGATATGACATGGTGACAAAAAATTATTTTTGGTAGCACCTGCCTCTTGCATCATAGCTCTTATTTCTGGGTGACTCATATAGACCCAGGAAGATACTGAAATGACTGACTGGATCTACTAAGGGAGCAAGTGCACTGAGCTACTTTCCAGGCTTTTGGGGAAGACCATGACTTGAGTGGTTCAGTCTGAGCTCAGTCTGCAAAAAGCATTATGTTTGGCCCATAGACATTTAAAGTTGTATGTGGGGCACAGTGTCTAGGTAGAGCCTCTCAATCCTGTTAGAAATACCAGTGTCTTACATTTTATGGTTGCCACTTTCTTGTTTTCAAAGTGTTTTTGTTTGTGTGATCTCATTTGATCCTTATAGCCTATGAGGTAAGTAGGTCATTTAGGGATAAGCATCATCTTTATTTTATAGATGAGAAAACTGAAGCCTAGGTGTGACCTTCCCCAAAGGTCATCAAAGCTATAGGTAGGGTCAGGTTGTTGAACTCGGGTCTGTCAAGATCATTGACACAATGCTAAAAAGGCAAGATCTTGAAACCTTTAACCCAAATCCAGAGAGACAAGATTTGTTTATCCTTGAACGAACCAAGAGCTAAATTTTAAATTCACGCTTAAGCTTTATGTTTTATTTATTTATTTATTTGGGTACGTGTCCCTAGCGGGAACCGAACCCAGGACTCTCTGGTCTGCAGGCCAGTGCTCCAACCGCTGAGCCAAAGTGGCTAGGGCTTAAGCTTTATGTTTTAAATAACACAGTATATTAGTTCAAACTAGAATTGAACTTCTAAATTTTCTGAATTTTACCAACTAGACTACGTATTCTCCTAGGATCTTTCATATTCCCACTTTAGATAGGATACAGTAACCAGTTCTTTTGAAAACATATCATTTACCTTTACAGTTTCTTTCAAAGAATAGGGGTGAGTTGTGTAACATGAGATGAAAAGTGAAGACTGTTGAGCAAGATTATTACTGTGTAAGTATTCAGAACCCAGGCACATGTTCTTTGATCCACAGTTCCATTGTCAGTGAATTCATAGCAAAACTAATTATCCAAATGGCAGTTTTAAAATTAGATATTATTTTATTTCCCATTTCTCATATTTAGGCAAAATGTTGGTATATAAATTGTGGCTGATAGCTCTTTTCATGTGGCCAGATGCCTCGATAAAGTCAAACACTTTTTTATTTTATTTTTTAAAAATAAGTCTTTAGCCCTGGCCAGTTTGGCTCAGCGGTTAGAGCATTGGCCTGTGGTCCAGAGAGACCCGGGTTCAGTTCCCACTAAGGGCGCATACCTCGGTTGCAGTTTGTCTCCAGCCCTGGTTGGTCGTGCGGGTGGCAGCCACTTGATATGTCCCTTTCATGTCAATGTTTCTCTCTCTTCCTCCCATTCTATCTGAACAAAAAATGGAAAAATGTCCTCAGGTGAGGATAAAAAAATATATATGTCTTTATGGATTTTAGAGAGAAAAAGGGAGAGGAGAGAAAGAGAAACATTGATGTGAGAAAGAAACATCGATTGGTTGCCTCCTGCATGCACCCCGGCTGGTAATTGGACATGCAACCTGGGTATGTACCCTGACCAGGAGTCAAACCCAAGGCACTCCAACCAATTGAGCCACACCAACCAGGGCTAAAATTCAAGCACTTTCAATACCACAGGTACATACCAGCTATCCTAGATAGAGACAAATTTTCTGTCTCTTGCTAATTTTTTTATAAAAACAATTTTTTGCCCTGGCCTGTTTGGCTCAGCAGTTAGAGCACTGGCCCAAGGAGCAAAGGGTCTTGGGTTTGATTCCGTGTCAAGGGCATGTACCTGGGTTGCAGGTCCAATCCAAGGGCTCAGTTGGGGCATGCAGGAGGGAACCAATAGACGTGTCAATGTCTTTCTTCCTCCTCCTCTCTCTCTTCCTCTCCCTCTCTCCCCCTCCCTCCCTCTTTCCCCCTACCCCCCTTCCACTGTATCTAAAAATCAATGAAAACATTTCCTCAGTTGAGGGTTAACAAAACAAAACAAAAAAAATCTTATCTGAAGATAGTACTTGGTCTTATTTTAATCATTTTGTTTCCCTCCCCTCCCCCAGTGTATTCCACAACAGAAAAATGACAGTGACTGTGGAGTCTTTGTGCTCCAGGTAAAGAAATATTGTTTTTTCAGAATTTACAATGTATGAATTAAATTTGTTGGGGTTGGAGAGGAGAAGTGGGAGTCCCTGTGATGTGTATGTACAGAGTACTAGTTACAGTTAACAGGGTACTTTTCCTTTCTCCCTTTCTTTTGAGAAGCAGTAGTGTTTGTATTTCTTAATGTTATGATTAGGAAGAACCACCTTTAAAGGCCAAGAATGAATAATTGGTATCATCCATGTCTTATCAGAGGTTATTAGTAAGCCACACTGGACCCTGATCTGAATTTGTCCGAATCATAGACCCTTGGCATTTGCAGAATTAATTGTATATTTTTAACCGTTGGCAAATGGTCTTTTGCCATAGAGTACATACTATTTCAATTTGAAATAACAGACACATTCAAAAGCTGTGCTTTCTCATACTGTGGTTCCCTTAGTGGTCAAAAGGCTGTTGAAAATTTTGTTATGTATTATATATGTGAAGGAAATTGTAGTATATCATCCATAAATTTAGAGAACTGCAAAGATCTTGGAAGATGGGCTCATTCATGACTCATGAATGTCTGGGGTTTGTAAACAAATCAGTTCTCACTTAAAGGCCATGTAGGTCTAGCTGCATTCTCAGCAGGTTGCACCTTAAGAAGAATTGGAGCCCCTTCATCAGTTTCTGCTTTAAGTATTAAGTGGGGAGGGTGGGGAGATCCCAGGCTATATACTTGCATGAAAGTTGACTATAATTTGGATGTAAATATTTAAAACAATGTCTTATAACAAGTTTAAACAAATTTTAAAATGCTGCCTTAGACCCTATTTTATTAGGTCTGCATCTGGTAAAATACATTGGGCTGGTACATAACTTCCTGCCATTTAAATATGTCTGGGATCTTTTCAGTACTGCAAGTGCCTCGCCTTAGAGCAGCCTTTCCAGTTTTCCCAAGAAGACATGCCCCGTGTACGGAAGAGGATTTATAAGGAGCTGTGTGAGTGCCGGCTCATGGACTAAAACTCAGCAAGGCTGGGAAATCTGACCAAGTTGGAGCAGATGGTTTGTTACTTGAATCTCCAAACACTTATTTGAATTTTTACAGATATTTCAGATCAGTGGTATTGGGCCACTATTGTTACCTCAAGTTTATTTTTAGCCCTTATTCATTTCTCTAGCTACCATGTACTATTTTTTAATGTTCAGTTTGGTTTCGGTTTTAACTTTATGAATTCCATATGTTCCCCCACCCCATATTTAATATTTATTATCCAAATGCATGCATATAGACAGAGCATGCAGTGCAGAGTATTAAAAAAAAAAAGCCTAGTAGATTTGGTGCAGCTTTTGAAACTTAGATGTGAACTGAATACAGGTTTGAAACTTAATCCCAGAACCTAAAAATGCAGGATACAACATAACTCTGAGGATATTAGGTGTTCCCTGGGCATAAAGGGTAGCTAGTTGTTGTTTTGACAAAGCCAGCCCTGTCTTACTTTTACCAGCAGTACCTTTCACTGACTTCCCTCTCTGAGTGAGTCTTGGAATGTGAGTTGCATTCCTTTTGACGGGTGAGAAAGAAGTGGCCAAAAACTAACTGGTGTGTTCTCTTTATGGAGGCACATGTGAGAAGAATTAGAATAAATGCCTAAGTCTTATAAAGGCTTTTGCTGGAACACCGAATTCCCTGGATTTTTGTTTTTGACCCAGAGCCATTAAAAACCTTACTGTCTATTAAACAAGTGATCAAACAAATGACAGTTCAGCCTAAGAGTAATTTATAAGTTGACACTCCCCTTGTGTTGTCTCCCATAAGAATTTAAGATTTGCCAAATACCTTTCTATTGCAAGGGTATTTAAAATACGAAGGTTCAAAACTGAAGACTGGCTTCAGGTCTTTTACAGGCTGGGGGGAGAGGAAAGGTAATAAGAGACTTGATTCCTCAGGAGTACAGTAAGTGTTATTAGTTTTTTCCCCCCTTAGCTCTTTAGTGATCTCAGCAACGTGCAAGTTCCTCATTTGGCCTCTGCTCGACCAACCCTATGAACCTCATCTTCCGGAGAAAGGCAGAAGTGGCCCTGTCCTTACACTTAGCTGCATTGGGGTTAATGTAAAGGATCTTGCATCTTTAATCCAGCCTTTTATGGTATTTGAAAGGAAATAAAAGATGCGTGTTAAACTACCCAATTATCTGTTCTGAACTAGGCAGGAAAAACAACAAATATGTGTATAAGAAACTCAGAAGCTTGTACAGAAAAATACCAAGAAAATGGCAGAAGATACTTGGGATCTGCCTACTTAGGTATTAAAAATAAAAAGCAAAAATGTACAGTTTAACTTGGCCATAAAGGCTGACTGCCAGCAGTTGAGAGTAGAGTCAGACATGTTTACAAAATGCAGGGTTCCCTCCCCAGACATTCCAAGCACCAACACCAGTGTTTACATTGTAAACAGCCCCAGCACTTTCCTAAGTCCCCCAGACTCAAACTTCTTAGTATAAAACCAGGTCAGTATTTCTTATTGTGCTTCAAGTCGTTAAAAAGACTGAGATTAGAGGCACTTGTGCTGCTATAGATAGGGTTGTCTGCATTAGGAAAGATTACAGTTTAAAATGGGGAGGACGTCTTCTTGAGGTTTTCAATTTTCAGACATAAATATGCAAAATGAGATTTTTCAAATCTATATGTAATAACATTTGCCTTTTTTTTTCCCTTTGGTAGCTATACAAAGGAGCCAGTAACTAGGCTATTGATTAAAAATGTCTTATACTTTAGAGCTCCATATCTCACCTCCTTACTGACAGAATTAGGCATGCAGAAGAGTCAGAACTGTGTTCTGGCAAGAATCTTAATGCCCAAAGCCTAGTTGTCATTTCCTCCAATCTGAGAAATTGTCATCATCTCAGCATTGAGGCTTGCAGGAATGTTCATAGAGAACGTAAAGTGAGCTGTCCAAGTCCAGTTCCTCATTCACTTCCAGCTTTACAGGACACCTTGAGGTGCATTGCTAAGCATGCTTTAGCCTAAATTACAAATATTTTAAGTCTGGTTACGATGTTTCTCTGCACACATAGTCACTTTTCCCCCTCTTGTGATTAGCAGCACACCTCTGTTTAGCCCAAGTCCTACATTAGAATGGCCTTTGCCCTGATGTTTGCAATAACTGCTTCCTTGCAACAAAGACATTTTTGAAATATAGTTTGGGCTGTTGGTGGAAGAGACAGGCATTGTTTTATTGTCAGTAGCTTGGCACTGAATTGTTGCCCACAAAGTGGGTAGATATTGTGCTTTTGGATGGAGTGCAGGCTTTGTACAAACTAAAAGCTATTTATGATGTGCCTTCAACAAGCTGCCCAGTTCTCTCCATCAGCAAACTTACCAGTCTGTAGTTGTTTCTTTCCAGTGATTTTTTTTTCCCTTTTGTTAAATTCATAGCAATGAATGTAGATTGAATTCAACTTTTAGTTAAGGTCTCAAGATTGTAGAGAACCAACCTTCTCTTAAGGGAACCTCCTAAGGGAAAGAAGCACTTGCTCCCAATAGTCCCCCAAATCCCTTTTTTGGCTTTGCATTGTATTTTCTATTTATCATTAAATATGAATAACACTGGTCATCTTGAATTCATAGTTGGAACAAAACAATAACAGACTTACTGGGATACAGCCAGCACTAGTCTAAGTTGAGCTGCCCTTTTTCTCTGCAATTGTGGTTCACTGGGTTAAAAGAGATAACTGGGAGCTATAGGTGGATCAGACTCGTCAGGTGAGAAACAGTGTATTAACAGTGTGAATTAGATATATTGACTATCTGCTCTGCTTACTGATGTTAAGAAACCAAACTAATCTGCAGTTATAAAGCACATTCTTTATGTGCTGGGCTCTGCCCCCTGGCCAGTAGACAATTAAGAAGACCTAGGAAATACCATCAGAGAAGTGCTAATTGTATTTGGGTATTACAAAAGCAGACCTAAACAAACTATTCACTTAAGTGGTACCTTTTGGTCAGAAAAAGAATTTATTTAAAGGTTGTGATCATGTAAGATGATTCAAACCTTCTAGCAAAAATATTTTTTTGAAAAATAAACTAAATGCCTTTATAAATGTGTGTTCTCTTGTATTGAATAACGTGTACTGTTTGGTGAGTAGTCATTTTTCTCAGTGGTGTTCCAGTCATGACAGCGCTTTTATGAACATATCCAGTGTAGGCTCCAAGCAGCCTACCCTTAAACAGTACTGCCTAATAGAATTTTCTGCAGCGATGGAAATGGTCTATATTTGTATCCACTACAACAGCCACTAGCCACGTGTGGCTACTGAGCATCTGAAATGTGGCCAGTGGGAATGAGGAACTAAATGTTTTATTTTTTAATCCTCACCCAAGGGAATTTTTCTACTTATCAGATAGAGTGGGAGGGAGGGAGAGAGAGACAGAAACTTCAGTAGGATAGAGCCACATCGACTGGTTGCCTCCTGCAAGACCTGACCAGGGCCGGGGACAAACCACAACTGAGGTACATGCCCTTGACTGAAATCGAACCTGCAACTCATTGGTCCGCAGACCGACACTCTTAACCACTGAGCCATACCAGCCAAGGCAAGGAACTATTTAGTGTTTTAAATTAATTAGCCACATGTGGCTAGTGAATACCATATTAGATAACTATCAAATCAAAATGGACATGTACATTCTGCACATTATTCATAGATTCCCCCAAAAACACATTCATAAATATTCCAGAGTAACGGGGTTCCAATGTCCCTCTTTATAGGTGAGGAAATGGGCACAGACAAGGATAAGTTGGTCTAACTTTATTGATATCTGTTACAGATGTCACAATTCCAAGTAGAACCACTGTCTGGTTTTAAGGCCTGTAGAAATCTGAATTATGCTTTACTACAAAAGAATACAAAATACATTAAATTCAAACTATAGTATAAAAAGAAATTTAAAAAATGAATAGTATGTCCTCATGAAATTAAATATTTGCAAGTGTTTTTTTCCTAAGCACTTACAAGTAGTTATAGCTCTCATAAAAAGTCAAATAACCAGTTTCTTTTTTTTGGTTAATCCTCACCCAAGGATATTTTTTCCATTGATTTTTTTTGTAGAGAGAGTGGATGGGAGGGAGGGAAGGGAGAAAAAGAGAGACACAGACAGAGACAGAATGACAAAAGAAGCAAGAGCATACACTGTAGTAAAGACAGTCTCGATAAATGGTGTTGAGAAAATTGGACAGATCCATGCAAAAAAATGGAGCTAGACCACCAACTTACACCATACACAAGAAAAAAACTCAAAAGACTTAAATAAAAGTCATGCAGATGAATGGATAAGTAAATTGGAGTACATCTAGATAATGAAATATTATTCATTAGAAGAAATTAGCTATCAAGCCACAGAGAGATTATGGGGGAGTCTTAAATACACACTACTACCTGTCAATTTTCGCTTGATGTATTTTGAAGTTCTGCTATTAGATGCATTCATATTTAGGATTGTTATATATCATTTAATCATTATGAGATGACACACTTTATCTTTGGTGATATTCTTTGTCTTGAGGTCTAACCCGGAATGGATCTCCAGACCCTTTGGTTCTCAGGCCGCAGCTCTGTCCACTGAGCCACACCAGCTAGGGCTCAAATAACCAGTTTTAATTTAATGAGAAAACCTACACTTACTGTAATGTCAAAGACATTCACACATTTGAAATACTTCAGCCCCAAGTTTCATAAACTATAAGAAGTTTGGAGATACTTTGTTGCTAGATGAAAAAAAGTGTCAGTATATCAGGAAAAATTATACTAGATCAGCAGTTTTAAATAAATAACAGAAACAAACAAAGTGTCCCTGTGATAGAGGACTAGATAAACAAGCTGTGGCACATATACACAATGGAATACTACTCAGCTATAAGAAATGAATACTGCCATTGTGACAATATGGGTGGACCTTGAGAATATTATGCTAAACTAAGTAAGTCAATCAGAAAAAGCTAAGAATCATGATTTCACTCATGTGGAATATAAAACTGAAAATCGTGGACACAAACAGCGGTGTGGTGGCTGCCAGAGGGAAGGGGTTGGGGACCTAATATAGTGATGGAAGAAGATTTGGGCACAAGTACAATACACAGATCTTGTATCATAGAAATCTGCACCTGAAACCTATATGATCCCATTAACCAATAAAATTTTTAAAAAGCAATAGTTCAATATACTACTACAGAGAAATCACCTCTTGCCTTACAAATGCAAAATAAATACTCTAGACCACCCCCCTTCTCTGTGGAGACAGTCTGAAAATCAGTAAACACAATTAGTGAAAAAACAAGACAGACTTCAACATGACCAAAACACATTTCCTGAGGGAAACATTTCTGATTGTTTTTGTCAGGCAGACTGTCAATCTTCAAGCTTTTTAAACCTATTCCATTCCCAAGATCACTCTGAAAATGAAAAGAATAAATCTGATGGCCCTCACAACAATCTTCAACATGTCAAAGCAGTTTTAACTAGTGTCCTTTGATATTTCATCCCATTTCCTACTGACAGTGTCCCCCAATTCCCTTAGAGTATTTGAGATTCTCTGTAATATAAACCAACCTCTGCTTTTTTTCTTTTTTAGCTTTAGGTAAAACACATCTTTTAAAACAATGTGCTTAGTAAATATCTTTCAAGTCCCGTACCTACTATATAAAGCATGTAAGCAGGTGGTATTCCCTGGGACTGTCTAAGGCTTACTTTTGCAACAACTCTTCAGGAAATTCTCTTGCCTCCTAAATTTGCCTTAAGATTAGCGTTCAACATAGGAATAAATTCAGTTGTCAAACATCTATTCCTAATTTTGAGCAAAGCTATACAATATCACAAAACTCCATTTATTAAACTTTATCTCAAAGAAACTTAAATTTTTTTTTAAACTTTATTGATTTTTTTTTTTTAATTAGAGAGAGGAAGGGAGAGTGAGTGAGTGAGTGAGTGAGAGATACATGGATTTGTTGTTCCACTTATTTATGCATCACTGGTTGCTTTTTCTATGTGCCCTGACCATGGATCGAACCCAAAACCTAGATGTATCAGGACAGTGCTCTAACCAACTTAGCTACCCAGCCAGGCCAGGAACTTAAAAAATTTTTAAATAGTAATTCCAGGCCCCAATGTAGACCAGGAACCTACTTAGATACAAACATGGTAAACAAAATCTTAAACTTTCCAATTTTCCTAAAAGAAGTGTGGTGTTGCCCTGGCCAGTTTGGCTCAGCGGTTAGAGCATCGGCCTACAGTCAGTCCAGAGAGACACGGGTTCAGTTCCCACTAAGGGCACATACCTCGGTTGCAGTTTGTCCCCGGCCCTGGTTGGGTCGTGCAGGAGGCAGCCACTCGATGTGTCCCGGGACACATGGATGTTTCTCTCTCCCTCTCCCATTCTATCTGAACAAAAAATGGAAAAAAAAAAAAATGTCCTCGGGTGAGGATTAAAAAAAAAGAAGTATAGTGTTTAGAGCTGATAAATCAACACTATAGATAAACTCTGTTGCCAAGGAACACGATTTTTGACCTAGTAAGAAAATCATTCTGGTAACCTCACACATGGCCAATATTATAAGACTAGAATTAAAGGCATTCTTTTGGATTCTATCCTTTAATGATTTTCAGAGGAAAACCATGAAGTGGCTTCTGGCTTAGCTTAGTAGAGACATTGATCAAAGATTTGTAAAAATGGCAGATTTGCAGACCTTGGGTAATGTACATCAAATTCAGCAGGCTGAAGGAGTGAATTTTTCATGATGGGGTTTCTTAACTACTGACTGGTTTTGGGCCAGTTTTCCATAGCCTCCTCTCCCAGCATCATAGTCTTGTCGATACTCATCTCGTACCTTAATTGAAAAGAACACAAGTTACAGTATAGATAAGATTGGTGTAATAAATATGCCTCCCACAAATATGTCAGACAAACAGCTAAGCCTTTTCAGATGTCATAATGCGAATGAACATACAAGCAGGCCATAATTTTTTTAAGCAACTGCCTTGCAGAATTACCTGAGACTACCAAATATTGTTTTTGTTGTTTTTTTACCAAACATCAGTTGCTTACTCATTCACCAGCATTCAAAAATAGCACAATGCAAAGTACTTAATTAAATTAGACTTTTAAAATAAAAACACAACTTATTTTAGTGCATTTTTCTTTTGTTCTAGACTTTTTGCAGGTAGAAAATATCTAGCCCCTAGCAAAAGTCTAGTAATAGCAGTTTGTGGAAATGTACAGAATATACCATTTCATTGGTTAAGAAAATAATTTACTAATCCCGATAGGTGATTTGGATTTACTTCAAGCTACAATTATAGGCACAAAGCTATTTTCAAAAGAACAGATATAAATATACAAAACACTTGTCATCAGGACGGGAATCACAGGTAAAGGCTGAGCCCAGAGAACCTTCCCGCATACCTGGCCTCCTGACCATCCACGGCCATACTGCCTGCCCTCCTTAAAGCCGGCGTCCCAGTCTGTGCGAATCATCCGGTCATCCAGACGAGTTCCACTTATATATCGCATGGCATTTTCTGCATCTGCTCTTGAATAGTATCTTAAGTATAAGTATTAAGGAACACTATACAGCATTTTTCCAACCTTTATTTTTATTTTTTTGGTCAATCCTCACTGGAGGATATTTTTTCCACTGATTTTTAGAGGTGGGGGAGGCATTGATGTGAGACACATTGATTGGCTGCCTCCCGCATAAGCCCCAACCGGGGCCAGGGATCTAACCTGCAACCCAGGTACATGACCTTGACTGGGAATTGAACCCTCAACCATTTGGTGCGCAGGCTAACACTCTAACCACTGATACACACCGGCCAGGGCTCTCCAAACTTTTTTGGAACTATAGGAAACATCTAAATAAAGCTGAGTTGTTAAGAAAAAGTGCAAAAACAAATCCAACCAGATGGAGTTTAAAGATAATCTGGTTTGCACAGGCCTGTTTTAACACTGGTCCAGAAGCACTAGAGTCAAATATGACACTTATTCATGGCTATATTGACTACGATTTCCTGAATAATCCTGTTAATAATTTATTTGATCCCATTCTCCCTATATTTTGTTGCAAAATAAAAAATATGTTCAGGCACTGGCCGGTTTGGCTCAGCGGTTAGAGCGTCGACCTGTGGTCCAGAGAGACTTGGGTTCGTTCCCACTAAGGGCACATACCTCAGTTGCAGTTTGTCCCTGGCCCTGGTTGGGTCATGCAGGTGCCAACCACTCGATGTGTCTCTCTCACGTTGATGTTTCTCTCTTTCTCTCTCTCCCTCCCACTCTATCTGAACAAAAAATGGAAAAATGTCCTCGGGTGAGGATTAAAAAAAAATATATATATATATGTTCATGGTAGGTTTAGGCCACAAAATGCACTCATTCAAGCAATCAATAGCATCCATATTTAGAGCTGTATATTCAAAAACAACCTTAATAAAAGTGATGGTCACAGTGCATTTAGAATTGCCACTGTATTTCATTAGAAGTAAACACTCAGAAATGCTGATCTAGACATTTTTCCTTGTCTTTAATTACACATAGGGAAATACTTGCTGAAATTCCAATGTCTAGCACTTACAAGATGCCTAACACACAGTGGTCATTCAGTAATATTTTTGTTGAATGACTGAAGTGCATGCTAAAAGGGCAAACAAAACAACACTGCCTCTCTTGGCAGCCTCTCTTTTGGGTATATGCCATTATGATTGTTATCTGACTTACAAAACAAATGCAAAAATATTACAGTTCTGATTAATATCTACAAGATGGATTTTGTCTTTCATATTTTCACTGTTCTATCCCCTGTGAACTCTTGCTACCAGAGGCAAGAGCAAAACATGGACACTCTGGTCCTTGCATCTGAAGGGAGAATGGAAGGAAGAAGTTTGCAGAGCCCAGAAATCAGACACCAAAATCAAAACTGAAGCTTCTGGTTCAAGCTGATAGTGAGCACACTTCCCTCCTTTCCTTGTCAAGACCCCCATTAAAATGACAGAAAAGAAACATACAGCCAGCCCAGACGGTGTGGTTCAGTGGCTGAGCATCGACCCATGCACTAAGAAGTCGCCAGTTCAATTCCCAGTCAGGGCACATGCCCAGGTTGTGGGCCTGATCCCCAGTGGGGGGCACGCAGGAGGCGGCCAATCAAGGTTCTCTCATCAATGTTTCTCTCTCTCCCTCTCCTTTCCTCTCTCTAATATCAATAAAGAAAAAAATTTAAAAAAAAAAATGCACCCAGAAAACAGAAGAGGCCATCAGCTGACTAGTGATTCAACAAAAGCCGGTGGTCGAGTGCTAATGGATGAAACAAAGTCAGTCTGAAATATTCTAAAGGAGTTTAAAGAAGGAGACAGCAAACCCAGGAGTCTCTTAATTCAAAGTTGAATCAGAAGTGAAGCTGCAAATAGGATTTAATTATCAGTCTCTCCATGGGAAGACCTGCTGCAGGAAGGCATTTAATCCCAGGCAAGTACAAATGATAGGATTCTGAACCAACTGCCTGGAGGAAGTAGGGTACTGTCTTGATATCAGCTGGCCAAAATACAAATCCCCTTTCTTTCTGGCATTTGGGAAACCCACATATCCCAAAGATAAGGTAACAACTGGAGAGAACAGCTCTGCTTTCTTTTTCGTAATTATGAGTACAAACCTAAGGATCACCAGAACTTTATGGAAAACTTATAGCATAAACATAACCAAAAGAAACAGATAATTCAGGATACAGAAAAAAAATTTCAAAATACACCCTAGCCAGTGTGCTCCATGGTTAGAGCAGCAGTCCCCACACAGGAGGGTCGTAGGTTAGATTCCCGATCAAGGGTATGTACCTGGGTTGCAGGTTCAATATCCGGCCCCAGTTGGGGCACTTACATGAGGCAACCAATCAGTATCTCTCTCTCTCTCTCTCTCTCTCTCCCTCACACATCTATATTTCTCTCCCTTTCTCTCCTCCTCCCTCCCTCCCTCTACTCCCCAGCCCCACCCCTTCCACACTCTCTAAACATCAATGGAAAAAAATATCCTCGGGTGAGTATTAACAAAAAAATTCTGGAAAAAAAATTTTTTTTCAAAAGACATGTTAGATCAGGTCTGGAAAATTTCTCAGAATATAAAACAAAATGACCGAAAAAAGAAAAGAAACCAAAGGATAAATCCAGGATTTACATTATTTGCAGTTTTCAGGGAAAGGATAAATGATCACAAATATAGTTTTGGTTTTGACTTACAAAAATCAAGCTATACACATCTAATATAATAAAATACATACTATACAGCCATTTTAAAAAGAGGTAGACCTACATGTGCTAATTATGGAACAATTGCTAAGAAGTGAAAAAAAATTGTGCATGTAGTATACCACCACACATCCATAGGATTTCTTCTGGAAAGACACTCAAGAAATTAGTAACTGATTGTCTCTGAGTTTAGAACTGTATAGGGATTTTATTTTCACTATACTCTTGACTTAAAAAAATTTTTAATTCAGTTTAGAGACAGGAAGGGGGAGAGAGAAAAACATCAATGTGCTGTTCCACTCATTTTATGAATGCATGGGTTGATTCTTGTATGTGCCCTTGACCGGGGGTTGAACCCGCAACCTTGGCATATCTGGACGATACTCTAACCAAGTAGGCTATCCAGCCAGGGCTACCCTTGTCGTTTTAAACCCCATAAGAATATATTTTTCTTGAAAGATTGTTTTTCTTAAAGAATTAACTATAGCCCTGGCTGGGTGGTTCAGTTGGTTGGAGCATTGTCCCATATACCAAAAAGTTGTGGGTTTGTTTCCCAGTCAGGGCACATACCTAGGTTTTGGGTTTGATCCCTGGTAGGGGCATGTACAGGAGGCAACTGAATGACGTTTCTCTCACATAGATGTTTATCCTTCTCTCTCCCTTCATCTCTCTCAAAAAACAGTATCCCTGGGTGAGGATTAAAAAAACAAACAAACAAAAAAACAGCCCAGCTAGTGTGGCTCAATGGATTGAGCACTGTCCCATGGACTGAGAGGTCCCAATTCAATTCCTGGTCAAGGCACATATCCAGGTTGTGGGCTCGATCCACAGAAGGGGGCTTGCAGGAAGCAGCCAATTGGAATTTCTCTCTCACATCAATGTTTCTATCTCTTCCTTCTTTCAAAAAAAAAAAAAAACCAACAAAAACATACTTAAAAATAAATAAATAAACTAAAATTTGAAAAAAGAATTAACTATAAACAAAGCATGGATTTCTGAACAGAATGTAAATGTTACCAGCTTTCAAAATGTAAGAATGTGGACAGAAACTAAGAGGGAGATGAAGGAAGGATAGACAGATAAGTATAGGGATGCTAATTAGCAAATATCTTCACTCATTTTTTAAAAAATAATGACCAGTCTGGCCAGTGTGGCTCAGTGGTTGAACGTCAACCCATGCACCAAGAGGTCACCAGTTCGATTCCCGGTCAAGACACATGCCCAGTTTGTGGGTCTGATCCCCAGTGGGGGGCATGCAGGAGACAGCCAATCGATGTTCTCTCTCTTCAGTGTTTCTATCTCTCCTTCTCACTTCCTCTCTAAAAATCAATAAAGGAAAAAAAATTTTTTTAAATACATGACCAACTACTCTAGGTCCTACCCTTGTCTAAGAGGTAATTCAGACACACAGGAAGGATACTCCACAAAACAGAAACCACATGGTGTTTTCTTAATTTTATCCAGGCCCATAATGATTTTCTTTATGTCACCACTTTTGCTGAAGAGTTCATAGATTTGTTCTTCAGTTGTGTAAAAGGAAAGATTTCCAACATACAAGGTACAGCTTTTCTTCAGTAATTTCTCCTGTTCTTCAATTTCACCCTGAATTTCAAATAGAGAAAAAGTTAAGCAACAAGATCTAAGAAGAGCCCTGCTTAAATAGTATTCCTAATATAGGAAAATTTTCATTAATTCTGATTTGGGAATCAGCTTCTCTCATCATCCCAATCCATGACAAATACCTTGCGAGAGAGAGAGAGAGAGAGAGAGAGAGAGAGAGAGAGAGAGAGAGAGAGATGTTCAAAATCTATGAAGCACTTATGCAAGGTCTAGACTGCTTCTGGTAGAGGGCCATGGCTTGAAAGTTATATTGCATATAGCCCTCCTCCTATACCATGCTGCCATACAAGTGGCATGCCTTTTCTCTGCACACTCCATATACTCAGCACTGGATCCTTCTCTAATGGTCCAAGTTTACTGTCCAGACCCTGAACCAATATATTAAAAAGGGCCTTTTTATCCTTTGTAGTGAAAAATTAGTGGATTTGCAGAGATGGGGGTACCCCTGTAATATTCCCACAGAGAATGTTCAAAGCAACAACTGCTTAGTTTACATGCTCATATATTTTTCTCCAAGTTTAAGAGAAATCTTTTGGCCTCCATGTGGGGCAGCACAAATGCTGATTAAATAAAAGGCCTACCAGCTGACCAGCTGTCAGGCCTTCAGACTCATATTTGGGCTCTAATATCAGCCATATAGTGGAATTCCAATGTGGAAAGTAGCTGAGCAGAATCATATTCAGGCCCTCGGAGCACTTTCCCAAGAGGCATCCCTTCTTCATGTACTAGTCCATACAGAATGCTGATCTAGTTTCTTTACTCTGAGAATAAACACTTCGTACTATTCATCTCTAAATGCTTTGCAGCACAGTGCTCAGAGTAATAGTTTTCATGTTCACATTCAGTGACAGAATAGAGAAACCATCTAAACTCATATCAAAAGGAAAATGATAAAATAAATCGTGGTACCTCGATAAATGTAAAACCTATGCAGCCCCCAAGAAAAATGTACATCCACATACAGTGATACAGAACATCTCCAAAATAATCAGCAAAGTGAAAAAGAAAAATAGAGCACAATGCAAAAATGCTCCAAGTTATTTTTATGTGTGTGTGTGTGTGTGTCTATGTATAAATACACATATATCATACATAAGAAAAAGGTAAGCATGTCTGCCTCTAGGGAGAATCAAAGGAATGCAGGTCAGAAACTTCCATATATGAAGTCTCATTTAAGTATCAGAAGTGAATAAGGTAGGTCCTAATAACTATCCTCACTTTACATCTGTGTAAAGAGTTAAATAACTTGTCCAGGGTCACATAGCTACTCTGTAGTAGTAGCTGGAATCCAAATACAATCTTATCCCCAATTTCGTATGTCCTTAAAAAGTCCACAGGACAGCCCTGGCCGTTTTGGCTCAGCGGTTAGAGCTTCGGCCTGCAGACCCTAGAGTTCCCACTAAGGGCACGTGCCTCGGTTGCAGTTTGTCCCCAGCCCGGTTGGGGTTGTGTGGGTGGCAGCCACTTGGTGTGTTTCTCTCACATGGATGTTTCTCTCTCTCTTCTCCCCCTTTCTCCCTCCCCCTCTATCTGAGGATAAATGCAAAAATGTCCTCGGATGAGGATAAAAAAAAAAAAGTCCACAGGGCATCATTGGGTTTTTCAGAACTTTGGAAGAAGATATTAGATGTACTTTATTTGTATTACTACTATAATATAAAATTTGTTATTTGTTAAAATTATGGTCAGGAGGCATTTTTCTTTTTTCTTTCTACATCCTATGGCTTAAGACAATTGTGTTGTAAGTACTTAAGGTATGATATTTATGTAGATTCCATTCAGGGAACATTAGAAATTATGCATGACAGTATCTTACTACTATCTAAATAAAGCTACAGGCTTTAGAGTGCAGAGAAGAATAACAGCAAAAGTTGAATCCTTTCAGTTTCAATCTTTCAGGATGCTTGAAATTCAAGATGTTTAGGATGTGGAACTTTCTAAAGTAATGAGAACTATAAGTGACAGAAATGAAAATCATGCCTGGCATATGGTAAGCATTAAATCGGCTGAGTAAATGAATTTAAGATCTTCCTCTATCTGACCTCAAACAAAATCTCCTTTTTCCTACTCTAATAACACTTTCTCCACGCTTGCTCTCTTTTGTATGAACCCCCTCCTTTCCCAGTCACAAGATTATCCCTTTTCTGAATTTTCACAGCCCCTCCCTTTCCACTCATCACTTCTGTTCTAAGTTACGATTACCTGCCTCCATTTACAGTCCATACTACAGAATTATGAATTCTTAGAGTACAGAAACTGTCTTCCCACTCCTTCCTAGGGGTAGGGAACTTTTTTTTTCTGCAAAGGGCCATTTGGATATTTATAACTTCATTCTCAGGCCATACAAAATTATCAACTTAAAAATTAGCCTGCTATTTTTGGTCAGACTAATTTGGTGAGGCTGTGATGTTAGCTGGTATTGGTTTCACAGACCTTACACAGCGGGAGCCAGACGTTCCTCACCCCGCCTTTGCTGATACCCACTAGCCCACCTTGAATATCTGCTGCCTTCCCTTTGCCCACGAAATCGACTATGACACAGGCCAAACTAAAGTGTTCCTCTTCTGAAACCCAGCAGTTCTCTGATCTTGACATCTAGACCAGCGATTTTCACCCGGTATGCCGCAAGAATTTTTAAAATATGCAATACCTGACTACTTAGTCAAGGGCACTGACCCCTTTTCCCTTAGATTGTCAAATTAAAAAAAAAAAAAAAAAGGCAACCGCCAACACAATAGCCATCCAGTGTGAATGAATCAAAAGTATACCTATTTTTTTGTCAAACCAGCAAAAAAATATTTTTATTTTTTGGTGTGCCACAGAATTTTAATAATTATGTGTGCCATGAGATGAAAAACGTTGAATATCGCTCATCTAGGCACCTAACATGACTAGCTTGGCTGGTCCGCCTACCCACTCCCAGGGCTCCCTACGGGTGGAGACAGGGCTCAACGTCTGTCTCCCACCTCGGGAGGAGGACTTTGTTGGACCCTTCTACTAGACTAAGGAAGGGGCTGGAAGAGCCAAAGAGCAGTATGTTTACTCTAATTTAAAATATAAAAATAACAAAAAGCCCCAGTATCTGAGTCAGGAAGGCGCCTCCACACACTGCAGGTGTCAAAAAGACACCCCTTCCCCTCATCACAAAGTCACCTCACCGAGGCACGGCCCGTGAAAACGTGAGCCGCCACTACTGCCGCTCCAACCCCTCTGCACTGGGCCGGGGACGGAGCGACTGCAAGGGGATGGGAGAGCGAGCCTCAGATCCCCCTTCTGTGAGAAAGGGGATCCAGTCATATCCAAACGCGCTTCCAGCATCCATTCCCCTGCAGGCACGGGGGCTTCACTTCGGGTTTCGGAAAAAAAGAGAACGGGAGACGACACAATGAGACAAGAGAAAATCATTTCTCAACGTTCTGGCCCAGGGCCTTCCCTTCTCGCGGTCCGGCCTCCCTTACCCAGAAATGCTGGTCCCGGTACTCGCTGAGTTCCACATAGGAGTCGCTGCGCAGCACCTTCGGGAGGGCACTGGACATAGTGCAGAGAAGTCGACAAAGACGCCGCCAACCGGGGAACAACAAGCGGACGCGGAGGTGGCGGAACCGGAAATGCTCGGCGGAGGCGGCTGCAGAGTCCGAATTTTGCCGACCAATCCCAGCGCGACAGTGTCGTCATTGGGCGGTGCGGACTCAGATGTGGTCCGTTGTCTGGCACCGCCGATCAGAAGCTAGAGCGGAGCGTTCCGGGTTCCGGCTCGCTCCAAGGATGGTTCTAAGGCGGCTGCTAGCGGTCTTGCTCCACAGCCCGCAGCTGGTGGAGCGCCTGTCCGAGTCGCGGCCTATTCGGCGTGCGGCGCAGCTCACCGCCTTTGCGCTGCTGCAGGCCCAGCTGCGCGGCCAGGACGCGGCCCGGCGTCTGCGAGGCCTCGCGGCTAGGCCCGCGGGTTCCCTGGGCCGCCGCGCTGCCCGCTTCAGAGACACCTTCACCGAGGAGCTACGCCGCAGCCTCCGGGAACGCCCGGGACCGCCACCAGGTAGCCAGAGGGGCCCGGGCGCAAACCACTAAACCTGGGTTGGGCCGGGCCGAGATCGTCTGCTTTCCTTTCGGGGCTGGACACGGGCCTCGGCGCTAAGGAGTCATCCCGGGCACTGCGCACGGCTTCGAATCCTGACTCATGTCGGCCTACAGAGGTCAACTCATCGGAGAGCCCAGGCCAAACGGACATCCCCGGTGCAGCCCTATGACCGGACAGGGCACAGTGTGTGAAAAAGCCCCCGAAGGCTCACAGAAATGAAGATAGGCTAGGCCTTGATACACCTCGTACAGAGAGCCATGGACCATACCACAGCCCGAGAGTTTGCCTTCTGCGAATGGGACTAAAACTCGTGGTCGATGCTGCTGCCTCTGCACTGATGTAGTAGGGCACTACCTCCGACATCATGGATGGAAAGACAAACCAGCAGATGCCAAAATACTCTGATTAAATATGCGAGCTGAGTAATGGGTATGAGTGTGGTACTTTTCTGGCAAGATGGGGATCCCTGGGGACTGTAGGCCTGGAGTAGTACTAGTTAACACATTGAGTGCTCACTCTGTGTTGGAACTTGCTAATTGGACTCTGTGTGGGTTATCTCACTTAATCCTTACAACCGCTTTCATAAAGGGACGTGTAGGCCACTTCTTAAGTTGCCCATGACTAAGTCCATAATCAGCTTTCTATAACATTTACCCTGACCTCCAGTGCCTGCCTCCCCACTCCCTACCATCACCACTGGGTGTTAGGACTAGTGCCTACCAAGGAACAAGCTACCAGGATTCCTGTTCACCATTTTACTTTATTTTTTTTAATATTTTCTTTTTTATTTCTTTATTGATTTTTAGAGAGAGATGGAGGGAGAAGGAGAGAGAGAAAGAAACATTGATGAGTGAGAATATCAATTGGCTGCCTCCTGCATGCCCCCCACTGGGGATTGGGCCTATGCCCTGACCAGGAATCGAACAGATGACCTCTTGGTGCATGGGTCGATGCTCAACCACTGAGTCACACTGGCTGGGCCCTGTTCACCATTTTAGAGGGTCAGGGTTGCCAGTGTGGCTCAGTGGTTGAACATCGACCCATGCACCAAGACTATGGTGCAGCTAATGGACCCACTATCAGGAGATCCATTGTATACAGAAATGCCCTGTCATTTGAGGCTTCTGACAGAATTTCTGATCACCTCTGATTAGGTTGCACAATTATTCATGCAATCTAGAAAGCTCAAAGCCACAGGAGAAACTTTCAGACTGGCTAATAACCAAACAATTTATGCTCTAGCTTTTCTGATAGTCACAGGGAGCTGGATAGGGCTGGAGACCTGTGCTAGGGATGGAGGAGCTAAAATAACTTGTCCTCCACTTTCCTAATGGTCAAACTTCTGATTTGGCATCCCACCCTCCAGTCTTTCCATCAGCGGTGCTATTTAATCCTCTCTGAGGCCAGAAGTCCCATTCCGCTAATGACCAAAGTCCTGGTTTGACATTCTACCCTCCTCTCCTCCCATCAGAGAAATCCTTCTCCCAGACAGAAGGTGACTCATTGGATTCTCCTTGGAGCCTGGCAGCGATGAGCTGGAGGAGCTTGTTCACTCTACTGTCTTGTCTGCCTCGTTGGCCTCAGTCCCACACATTGGTCCCTGGATATCAGAGCAGCACAATATTAGCAGTCCCCAGCCCAAACCCTACCCTCAACATAAGCATACTCAGTCTTTTTCTAGATGAGATAAAAAGGGAAGAAGTGCAGGAAGCAATGCAATTTCTAGATAAACTGGCCATTTAGTAAGAAAGGAAGGAAAGCAAAAGAAGGGGGACATTTGCTTATTTTTTGTGGAAGGAGTGTATAAGAACTAAGTTCCCTCCATTTCTGTAGAAATCTGGGAGCAGAGAGAAAACTGGGTCCCTTCTGCTCCAATTAGAGGTGATTAGGATGCCTCTCCACTTCATGGTAAAAGGCTCCAGTGTTTATAGTCAGTGGATTGCCTTCTTACCAGTTACCCTATTACTAAAGAAAATGACGAAATTCTTCCCGCAACCCTCATTGGCAACAGTCTCCCAGCATGCCTTTCAGGCTCTTGTAAGCCCTGCCTGAAAGGGAATCAACTCACCTTCTGATGCCACACAGATACACACACTTTACAAATTTATTCAAGCTTAGACCACCACAATCTATATGGACTGCTATACCAACAGTTTCTCCAGGGAATTCTGAGGTTGTGGATCCAACTGGGGAAGGGAAGAGGCAAAAGCCTAGAAGAGTTTGGGACCCTAGAGTCTTGGATGTCTCCACTGTGGCACTTGGTTTTATATCTTAGGACAGAAATACCATCTTTGGCTGAAAAATAAACAAGTGCTTATCATTTGCTAGAGATGATGCTAAGCACTAAGGGCTAGGAAGACAAATCCGAGTTTCATAACAGAAACAAGCCAGAAGAATAATGAATTGTCACAAATGAGGAAAATGTGGCACTAAGACCCTAGCAGCAGTCACAGAGCAGCATGCTTGTGAGGAATGTAGCTTTAAGATGACCCAAGTCTTTAGCCAGCAGAAGGCAGAAATAGAAAAGGACTCAGATTTGGTCATTTGTATAGGTTTGGTCTGCTCTCTGTTGACCTCTGGCTCACTGATCTCTGTGGCCTGTGTGCCTCTTGTTCTCATGAGATGGCAGAGGTGTGAGGAAGGAGAATGAGAACAGGTATAGTGCCACAGTTCCTCACGTTCCCAGTGGACTGGGTAGAGAATGAGAACAGGTATAGTGCCACAGTTCCTCACGTTCCCAGTGGACTGGGTAGAGGGTACTTATGTTGGTTGCAACAGGGAGCTCAGGGGTGTGATGGCTTCTATCAAAGCAACAGGTGTTGATTTGGCATGGGGTTTGTTCTCCACCCTGTGAAGAAAGGTTTCAGACAAGGGCTTTGGGCTTGGAAAGGGACCAGATCACATTTAAAAAGAAAGGCTTCTGGGAGCACCAGGTTGTCCTCAAGTGCAACTAGATGCTGACTGAGCACTGTGTGTTCTCCAGTCTTACTGGGGCAGTCTGAGGAGGGAAAATGGCCCTTAAAGGGAGAATGACCCTTGACCTGGGAGAATAATCCTTAAAGGATGAGATGCCAAAATGTCCCACTATCATTCAGGGACAAGAGTAGAAGGGAGTGGAGAGGAATATTCCAGAACTGCTATTTTTGATAAAAAACCAAACATGAAGACAGGAGGCACCAAAGTGCAATTAAATACACCAACAACCCAATGCTATGCTTAAGAGCCTTGGGAGAGACATGCCTGTCTAGCCAGGGGCATGTGCTGCAGGTTGGGAAACAGAGGCTGGGTGAAAGGCAGGGACTTTCTTAAGATCACACAGCCAGTGAGTGGCAGACCAGGGACTAGAACTCAGGTCCCCTGAATCTGTGCTACCTACTCCCTCTATATCCCCACACTGCCTCCTTCTAGGTGTCTAGGAAGCCAAAGGGTTGTTATGACAGCAAGAAGTAAGGCGTCCTAGAAGGTTTAGAGGTCGTTTGGGAATGTCATTAGCAGATCGTTCTCTTCACAGCCAGGTGCTATCATATATTTAAAACATCACAGTGGCCTGAAGGAATAGGGCAGGAACCGACCTTAGAGGCCATTGGGTATACTAGGTTCTTTGGGGACCTTGGCATCAGGACCATGACTGGTCAGATCTTTGGTCTTTGGGGGGAAAGGGTGTCAGGTTACCCAGAAGGTAAAGCAGCCAAGGGCTGTGCACAGGAGAGGCTATAGTAGGAGTTCTGGAAGGGAAATGAAAGGAAGAGAGTCAGGGCTCTGTCCCAGCCCAGCTGCCCACACGGGAAGTGGAGTGATGCCTTCACCTATGGCAGTGGGTTCTCTGTCACATTGTCAGGCTTCTCCCCCAGCTCCAGGATGTGAAGGCTGAGATGGTCCCTCCAAGCCCCACTCAGCAAAGAAGACAGGGCTGGTGGGTCCTCTAGGGTCAAATGGGGAAACACAAGTGTCTCACTCTTGAGGGGAAAGCTGCACTTCTCCATGGCAGGCCTGGTGGTGCCAGGGGTCACCACAAAAAGGCGGCAGAGCCACGGCCCACCAGCCACCTGGCAGGCTGGTTGTCTGGTGAAGTTGTTCAGGGCTTGGCACAGAACCTGATCCTCTGTTCCACCCATGTCCACCACTTTCACAGGTGACCCCAGACCTGGGAGGTGTAGGAGGTGCCGGGGGGGCATGTAGGTGTGGCTGAAGAGGAGTGTGTAGTGAGTGGGTACGCTTGGGAGTACAGGTGCATGAACCACTCGCTCCAGGTGCTCCAGGCCAGGCACTAGGCCCCCCTGGTGCAGGCAGCCGAAGAAGAGGGCACCCAGGGCATTGAAGAGGACCAGCGTGCCCTTGCAGGACACAGGTTGGGTCTGTGGACTACAAAGCAGGACCAGGGGGACCAGAAGGGGGATCAGGAACCGAGCCTCCTGGTGGCTAAAAGCAGACAGCAGGGCAAGGGGCATGAAGTAGAGGAGCAGGAGATGAGACCTGGGGCTGAACAGCAGGCTCCGGGCATCCAACACCCTCAGGAAGCCCATCTGTACAAAGGCCTGAAGGCAGACATGCAGCTGTTGCCACCCAGCCTGCAAGGCCTGGACATGCAGCATCCCAAAGAGCAGGAAGCCATTGACTGCCAGGTGAGTGAGCCGCAAATGTGTGCCGTGCCTCGCCAGGTTTTGAGGATCCAGGTTGTAGTGCAAGAAGTTGGCAGGTGTAAGGACAAGGGTACTAGATCTAGATGGACTGGAGAAATACCAACTGTCCACAGCCACAAACACTGTTGCTGTGAGGGTCGCTCCGGGGAGGATCCCCAAGGCTTCCCTGGTCAGTGACTTGAAGGCAGTGTTTGTGGCTCTACAAATGCCCCAGAGGAGGAGAGGGACCAGAGCAAAGGCCAGAAAGGTGGGCCGGTTGAAGAAGCCAGCAGCCACGATGCCTCCGAGAAGCCAGCTGTGCCACCATGGGCCGGGAACAGGCTTCTTGGGTGCAGAACTCCAAACTACATGTGGGGATACCAGTACCAGCAGCCATGCAAAGAGCAGTCCCTCGATGGCATTGGAGAAAGTCCTTGTGTAGAAGACCAGGGTGACGTAGGAACCAGAGAGCAGGACCAGGGCGTTCCAGCGTTCTGCCTTCCACAGTGGGGCCAGGTGGTACACAGCCATGTCCAGGGCAAAGGAGAGGGCAGTGAGGAGGAGCCGAGGCCCCACCAGCAGCACATAGCCACTCACTGGGCCAGGCCACAGTCCCAATTCTTCCCAGAACCTGAGCAGCCAGAAGGCAGACCCGGAAGTCAGCAGTGGGAAGACCACTGTGCGGCAGGAGCTGCTGGGATGAAACTCCCAGGGTCGGGTGGCTTCTACGCCCAGGATGTCCCCTGCAGAGAGAGAAGCAGAGGTGAACCAGTTCCAAGCTCAGAAAATATGGTAGACAAAATTTTAGAATGGCCCCCCAAATTTTACAGCTCTCTAATGTACACTCCCCTCATATTCCCCAGGACTGTGAAGATGATGGATTTTACTCTTATGATTAGGTTATGTTGCAGGGGACAAATGACCATAAGATAGGGAGATAACACAGATGGGCCTGACATAATCACATGAGCCCTTTAAAAGCAGGGTATTTTTACCTGGCTGATGTGGCTCAGTGGTTGAGCATCACCCACAGGCACCAAGAAATCGCCAGTTCAATTCCTGGTCAGGGCACATGCCCAGGTTGTAGGCCCAATCCCCAGTGGGGGGCATGCAAGAGGCGGCCAATCAATGTTCTCTGTCATTGATGTTTCTGTCTCTCCCTCTCCCTTCCTATCTCTCTAATATCAATAAAGAAAAAATATTTTGGGAATTTCAAAATGGCGGTGGAGTGAATGGAAGCTTGACAGACCATCTCCCGGGACTAAACTGGAGTTACAACTAAAATAAAGACAAATCATTGGGAGAAAGCAACAGAAAAGCAGCTCGTGAGGATTATATAATCAGGGACACTGACTTGATCCTGGTAGGATTATGGAGGCGTGAGAGGGGGGCTGGGAGTCCATGGACAGTAGTGGTCTTAGTTGTGAGCAGCACCCTCAAGGTTAAAATCCCAAGCCAGCTCCCCAACACAGAGGGCCAGGATAGAGCACTAAATTAGCCACAGCCACTCACCTTGGGCTCCAGCAGAGGGAGGGAAGACTGCACTGGAACTGTGTGGAGACACTTGGGATTTGGAGGGCACTCAGAGCTTTTGCTGAGTTGCGGCCACACAGGACAGTGGCCATCTTACTCCTTGCCAGGACTCTGGGGAGAGGCAATGGCCCCTCCCTCGGAGCTTCAACCCCACCCAGATGAACCAGAAAATGCAAATTGAGGCTCATTAACAACCCGCATCTGCCCCACCCTCAGGAAATTCTCTTACGCTGAACACCTCAGGAAGTTTTTCATTCAACTGAGAACCCAAGGCTCTTCAAGTAACCGGGACTAATAACCTCCAGGCAAAAAGCTAGAGGATAACTGAACCATTCCTGGGCTTGCAAATCTAGCCAGGAAAGTAAGACTTGACAGTGGTGTCTAACATAAGTCCTCCCATGCTCATCCAAACCCAGTAGAGGGAGCCACAAACAGCAGAATACCAACACCCACAGGGAAAATTTGGCAGGCTCCAAAACCCACTGATAGCCAAAATGGTGAAACAAAGAAAAAAATCCCAAATGAAAGAACAAGAGACCTCTACTGAAGATGAGATAAATGAAATGCAGTTAAGCAAGTTATCAGAGGTAGAGCTCAAGGCATGATCTTGAGGAAGCTCAACAGCATGAGTAAGGATATTTACCATGAGTAAAGATATGGAAACATTGAAAATCAACCAATTGGATATGAAAAACCACCAAGAAGAAATGAAGATTGACATAGCAGAAATAAAGAACACATTGGAAGGACTAAACAGCAGAGTAGAGGAAGATGAGGACCAGACCAGTGAATTAGAAGACAGGGTAGAAAAAATCAACCAATCAGAAAACCAAAAGGAAAAAAACAATTAAAAAACAGGAAGACAGCTTAAGAGAATTGTGGGAGAACTGGAAACATAATAATATTCACATCATAGGAGTCCTCAAAGAAGAAGAAAATGAGCAAGGGTTAGAGAATTATTTGACAAAATAGTGACAGAAAACTTCCCTAATTTGGTGAAGGAAGAAGGCATTCAAGTTCAAGAAGCACAGAGAGCCCCAACGAAGAACCCAAACAAGCCCTCACCAGGAGACATAGTAATTAAAATGCCAAAAATTAAAGACAAAGAGAGAATCCTAAAAGCAGCAAGAGAGAAGCAACAGGTTACCTACAAAGGAACCCCCATTAGGCTATCAGCTGACTTCTCAACAGAAACATTACAGGCCAGAAGGGAATGGCATGAAGTAATCAAGGTCATGAAAAACAAAGATCTGAATCCAAGACTACTCTATTCAGCAAGGCTATCATTCAAAATAGAAGGTCCAATAAAGAGCTTCCCAGACAAAAGACGGCTAAGGAAATATATTAGCACCAAATGAGCACTGCAAGAAAAGTTGAAAGGACTGCTGTAATTAGTAGAAGAAATAGAGAGAAAAATATAACCACACTAAACAAAAATGGCAAGAAATAAGTATGTATCAATTATCACCATAAATGTAAATGGACTGAACACTCCAATCAAAAGACACAGAGTAGCTGATTGGATAAGAAAGTATGATTCATATACATGTTGTTTATAAGAGACCCACCTCACAACAAAAGACTCACATAGGATAAAAGTGAAAGGGATGGAAAAAAATCTTCCAAGCAAATGGAAAGGGAAAAAAAATGCTGAGATAGCAATACTCATAACTGATAAAATAGATATCAAAATGAAGGCCATAACTGAAGACAAAGAAGATCACTACATAATATTGAAAGGATCTATCCAACAGAAAGATATAACATTGGTAAACACACATGCACCCAATATAGGAGCACCAAAATATATTAAAAATCTTCTGGAGGACTTCAAAGGAGAAATCGACAGCACTACAATCATAGAAGGGGACTTCAACACCCCGCTGACATCACTAGATAGATCCACTAGACGAAAAATTAACAAGGGAACAGAGACTCTAAATGAAGCATTAGATCAAATGAATTTAATAGATATCCACAGAGAATTACACCTCAAAACTACAGAATTCACATTCTTCTGAAGTGCACATGGGACATTCTCAAAGATAGACCATATGTTAGGACACAAACTAAGTCTCTACAAGTTCAAAAAGATTGAAATCATATCAAGCATCTTCTCAGATCACAAGGGCATGAAACTAAAAATCCATTGCAACAAGAATATGCAAAGACATTTGAACACATGGAGATTAAACAGCATGTTATTAAATAATGAATGGGTTACCGAGGAGATCAAGGAAGAAATTAAAAACTTCCTGGAAACCAATGAAAATGAACACACAAAACACAAAATCTATGGGATGCAGCAAAAGCAGTTCTGAGAGGGAAATTCATAGCACTACAGGTCTACCTCAAGAACTAAGAAAAATTTCTAATAGACTATCTAACTTCACAACTTTAAGAACTAGAAAGCAAACAAAAAGAAAACCCCAGAGCAAGTAGAAGGAAGAAAATAGTAAAGATCAGAGCAGAAATAAATGACATAAAGACAAAAAACAAAAAAACAACAACAACAACAACAACAATAACAACAACAAAACAATTCAAAGGATCAATGAAACAAAGAGCTGGTTTTTCAAAAAGATAAATAAAATTGATGGACCCTTAGCTAGACTCACCAAGACACAAAGAGAGATGTCCGGCCGGTGTGGCTCAATGGTTGAGCATCGACCCATGCACTAAAAGGTCACCGGTTTGATTCCCGGTCAGGGCACATGCCCAGGTTGTGGGCTCAATCCCTAGGGTAGGGCATGCAGGAGGTGGCCAATCAATGTTCTCTCTTATTGATGTTTCTGTCTCTCTTTCCCTCTCCCTTTTTCTCTCTCTAAAAATCCATAAAGAAAAAAAAATTAATAATAATAAAAAAAGAAACAGAGAGAACCCAATGCACAAAATCAGAAATGAAAGAGAAGTAACAACTGACACCACAGAAATACAAAGAATCGTTAACAAATACTATGAACAATTATATGGCAACAAACTCGACAATCTAAGTGAAATGGACAAATTTCTAGAAACACAGTCTCCCAAAACTGGACCAGGAAAAGATAGAAAATTTGAACAGACCAATAACAACTAAGGAAATTGAAGATGTAATCAGCACTCTCCCAGCAAACAAAAGCCCAGGCCCGGACAGCTTAATGGGGGAGTTTTACTGAACATTCAAAGAACTAACACCCATTCTCCTCAAATTATTTCAAAATATTCAAGAAGAAGAAAGACTTCCAAACTCGTTTTATGAGGCCAGCATAATTCTAATTCCAAAACCAGAAAAAGACACTACAAAGAAAGAAAACTACAGGCCAATATCCCTGATGAACATACACGCCAAAATCCCAAACAAAATACTAGCAAATCAAATCCAGCGATACATCAAAAAAATTATTCACCATGACCACATGGGATTCATCCCAGGGATACAAGGATGGTACAATATTCGCAAATCAATAAATGTGATACACCATATAAACAAAATGAAAGGTAAAAATCATATGATCATATCAATAGACACTAAAAAAGCATTCGACAAAATGCAGCACCCATTTCTGATAAAAACGTTCAGCAAACTGGGAATAGAGGGATCATATCTTGACATAATAAAAGCCATATATGAAAGACCTACAGCCAACATCACACTCAATGGGCAAAAACTAAAAGCATTTCCCTTAAGAACAGAAATAAGACAAGGATGTCCACTTTCGCCACTCTTATTTAACATAGTACTGGAGCCCTGGCCGGTTTGGCTCAGCGGTTGGAGCACCAGCCTACAGACCAGAGAGTCCCAGGTACGGTTCCCGCCAGGGGCACATACCAAAAAAACAAACAAACAAAAAACCCGCCCTGGCCGGTTTGGCTCAGCGGTTGGAGCCTCGGCCTGCGGTACAGAGAGACCCGGATTCGGTTCCCGCTAAGGGCACGTACCTCGGTTGCAGTTTGTCCCCGGCCCTTGTTGGTCGTGCGGGTGGCAGCCACTCGATGTGTCCCTTCACATCGATGTTTCTCTCTCTCTTCCTCTCTCTCCCTCTCACTCTATCTGAACAAAAAATGGAAAAATGTCCTCAGGTGAGGATTAAAAAAAAAGGAAAAAACAAACAAACAAAAAAACAAAAACATAATACTGGAAGTCTTAGCCACAGCAATCAGACAGGAAGAAAAAATAAAAGGGATTCAAATTGGAAAGGAGGAAGTGAAACTGTCATTATTCGCAGAT